ACACGTTCCCAGCTACAGAAAATAACCTAGTCCATTGTTAGCTTGACCATGACCATGAAAATAACACCACGGCCGTGGTGTTCATGAAAGACAACTAATGGACAAGGTTTGACCGTGGTTAAATTGTTTGCTTTACCATGGCCTTGAAAGTTAAGACCACGGCCGTGAATTAGATGTACTTTACGTTCTGTCCAAGTTCATGGTCGTACCACGGCCATGGTCGTGGTCTTGAAATTCGACAGAATCAATATCATCGTTCAATTTGCACGGGGATTGAAATTCAACAGAATCAAATTCACGGTCATACCACGGGCATTGACTTACGTAACTTTTGACCCACAAAAATACTCATAAAAGTTCATAAATTTCATTCACTCCAACTACATACATCATGTTCTGGATGAATCGAAAACAATATTATGAACCAATAAAAAACTAACCTCGATGAAAAATTGACTTCCTTTAAGGTATTCAAGATGTGAAAAATGTTGGAAAATGTAGGGAAGTTCTCCAAAAAAAATGTGAAAGATGTGCATGAGGACGATAAAGACTGAAACATACTTTTATTCTCTGCAATCTGTGCGAATGTGTGGGTAATGATAGTAAAAAAATTTGGTGGGAAATTAATAAGTTGGTGGTACTTTAATAAATTCATGATCATGAATCAAGTGGAACTCGCCATAGTTTTAATTACACCAACTTACGTGCCTAGTTTAATTAATTTAGAGGTATATTCATAATTACATACTATCTGAAAAATGTCAGAAAAGTTAAAATTTGGCCAGTTTAGTCAACTTCTATAATTGAGGTCAATTGAGCAAACTAGAAACTTTTTTAGGTTTGATCTTTCGAATATGAGAAAAACACTATATAATCAAACATAGATCTATACTCTTCCCTATCAAAATTTTGCCTCTCGTATGATCGTCTAGTACAGTCATGTTCACGTTTCAGGTGGTTGGATTGGCGGCACTGAAGAAATACGTTGCCCTTCTCCGGGAGGCCGCCGCCAATTACTACGGCGATCTCAAATTCTCGCGTTCATCGCCACCGTCGCTCACGCTAACAGTCTGTGGGCCGTCGAACAAAGGCCACCGCTTCGTGGCGGCGGTGCAATTGTTGGAGCCATTATTCAGCGTCGTCTCCGCCACCGACGACGGCGATTACCGTTACCAGTTTCACCTCGAAGAATTCTTTCATGCACTGAATTGCACGAAAGATGATTTTTGCTTGACCGCCATCATTCCGGAATCCGCTGGGAAGGCCAACTTCCTATTTTGCAGTAGTATGTATATTCGTTGTTTTTTCCGAGTAAAATTTTATCTTGTTTATTATATATGAACAAATTGAGTTTGCTTTGCTGGGAAAATTTTTATTTTATTTCTTTAGGGCTCAATTTTCGCATTAATTTGCTATGTTTTTTTGCCTAAATTGGATACACAATTCAAACATATTTCTTATTTCTACTCGGTCATACTGCCTCAGACATTTAAGTTAAAAGTTTAATATGAAAAAAGATCGGGTGGTTCCGGACCTTAAGAACTTTAGGGTCTTTAAGGTCTTCCCGTTTCTTTTTTTTTTCCCTCAATTTTCTTAAGAAATTTAAGCATTTTACAATTAACTATGCTTATTGTTTCTTATTTTTTTAAAAACATTCTAATAATTATATATAAATTTTGGAAACAATTTCTTTTTTCTTGTTCCCATTTACCATTTGATTCAAAACATAAATAAATAGGACTCATGCAATTCATTAACAAAAATAATAAACAATGACAAGAACGTTTAAAAAAAAGAAACAATAAAAAAAACACAATAACGTTACCAAACGAGTCCTAATTAATTATCGATTTGTTTCACTTCAGGATTACGTGGCGAGGAGCGATGTTTCTTTTCGTCGAAATTGAGTCCTCCCGATATCGAAGAAGTGGGCAAATTTGGGTACAAAGGAGGGTTTGTGGCAATTGATGCTGAAAGATTCAGAGATATTGCAAAACATTGTCTGTCTACGAGCTTCCAAGTAATTACTCAATTTCTGCATTACAATTTAATACAAACATGTATATAGTTGTGTTTAAATTTATGAAACCTTAATTTACACAGTCACTGTTACTGCATAATCCTCACAAGTGCAGTTTGCTGTTACAACAACAACATGCCACAATAGTCCCATCCTTCTTACTGCAAAGGTAATTATATAACTTAATATCCCTTCTCTTTTCTAGCCAAGACAAATCTCGTCTTCTAATCAACATGAGCTACTTTTGTCCAAAAGGTCCAAACGAACATTCAGTTAAAAATTGAGATTCAACTATCCCTAAATATCCATTTGAAACTAAAAGGTTTTTCATAAAGGTAGATTGTATTAAGAATTAGACATGAGTTACTTTTTTTATTGTCAATTGATTTTGAGATGAAACTCGCAGGACCGAGAGTGCTCGACAGGAGGTTTGAATGGCGTGGTCCAATTCTCAATCACTATGAATCCTGTGAGTTTTTTCGTGGGTGCATCACATTTGACCAAATTTGTGTGGTTCTTTGGGTCAGCTGATTGGAAAACTGTAGTGATTCGCTTTATTGGACAGCATGCTCACGTTATGGCCTATTATTATTCCCCACGTGGGTGAGAATTTTCATTTTTATTTGGCGAAAATACAACATTTTGAGTTTTAATTTCATGATTACCACCCTTTTCCAATTCGATCCGATCCATTCATTCGTCGAGTTATTTACTCGATCACAGACATTTCTAGAGCACTCTAACAGAGGGGCAAATAGTCAATTTTGAAAGAACTTATTGTCTAACCTCTCTCAGATATGAATCTATTGGTATCTCAATTTCAATTCAAATATGAGTTTGATTCACACTCCATGTTCTGAAAAGAGTAAAAAATGGAATCTTTGAGGACAGATTTGCTTTCAAGAATCTGGATATTCTCACTTTTGTGTCTATTTAATTTGAATAACTCATGGTATTGGTGAATGTTTGCATACTAGCAATGTTTGGGCAACTGCAATTGACTTTTTCGAAAAAGTAATTTCACTTGGGAGTAATTATTTTAAATGGTAGGAAATAACTCTCAAAAAGTTTATGGTGTCCTTGATCAAATTGAAAATTGAAGTACAATTTTTCCTCATTTTTACTAACAATAAAATAAATACACTAATTATTATACAAATCCTAAAATCTAGCTTAAAAAGTCAAATAACCAAGTCAAACTTCTAATAACATAGAAATTCATATCAACCCATATAAATGTTTGAAAAAAAGTTTCATTTTACCAAGATACTTTGGGGAGCTTTCTTCCCAATCCAAGATAATCCATTAGACATATGAATAATAACAAGTGGGAAAAGAAAAAAGGAAAATTCAGTAAAGAGAGTTGTAGGTAAAACATGTCGCTATAATGGCATTTATACAAATAAAAAGTGAAGGAAGTAATGTAGCATTCAAGAGTTTGCTGTCGCTGAAATACCCCGACAACGTTATCGTGCCATCGGCGATCACTCGAGCCAGAGTTCCAGCTTCTGTGGAAAGTAGGCCCCCATTAAAAGTGCCACTGGAAAGCCTCGACGACATAACTCGAGAGAGAAGTGATAGATTTACACCTGCATCAGTTTAAGTATTGGTTTAACATTTAGAATGAGTGTTTTCTAGTTGATGATTTAAGATGACCACAATACCTTCAAGAACTTCAGCAGCAACAAACGTGATTAGTGCTGAGCAGACATATTGAGGTACTGAGTAAGGAATCAAAGTATGGAAGCTCAATATTATGCCTATGCAAACCAAAATTTCAGATGCAAGAAGAAGTTGCCTACAAGAAAATCAATAAGTTATACATACTTTGCGAAACGAAAAAAGTGATGCAAATCACACAAACTTGTATATGTTACTCTGAAACTTTCTGAGTGTAATTGAAAAGATGAGAAAACCTCTGCAACCAAATAAATAATTTAGTCCATGGACTTTGATGATTTAATCAATTTAGTCTCTAACTTTACTAATTTTAATTATGCTCTTGTACTTTGAATTATAATTAAATTTAGAACGTTGATGCAACATACTTGTTAAATAAATGTTGGTCGATTTGACATAATGTGGTATACAAATAGTAGGATCAAGTAAGTAGTTAAATAGACTTAAGTTTCTCGCACAAGAATCAAGGTTTATGAGCCACTTTAGTCTCTTTAGCTATCCACTTGTGCTGTTATTATGTCTTGTCACGTGATACCAAATCGCTCAATATTTATCTAATAAGCATATCACATCAACATTCTGTTGACTGTGCTCAAACGATCTAAAAATAACCATAAATTCAAAGTTTATGTTATTAAAACTTCTTAAAGCTCAGACAGAATCAAGTTCATGGACGAAATTATAATTTAAAGGTGAAATAAAGTAAGTTCAAGTGAAGATAGATTATATCAAGTTTTTGTGTACCTTTCTTCAAATAAGTTACTAAGGTAGTTGCCAACGATGATGTTTACAGGGAGCACTGTCAAGCCAAGGCATGCGAGAAAGATTGCGACATTGGAAGTTGACCAAACGAAGTAGTAGCCAGTGATTACAGTTGATTCAGCAAGTACAATCTCCATCGCATATTTTAGCATAAAATATACAAATAGTTGAACCTGAAAGTATATAACATTGTGTAGATGGAAGTTTTAGCATCATAATTATTTCGGATCAGAACATTTGAATTGACTTCAACACAGGAAATGAAAGAAACCAAAAAGATAATGAACATCCATATGAAATAAAATTGACCATGGAAAAGGTTAAATACGATATAGTCGTTTCATGATGTTCATAATCCTAGAAAAACAAATATCTAGATCTCTTATCAGTTGATACAACAGATCAAATGATTAGAAAGCGATCTCAATCTCAATCCATCTTGATTTTCCAACAATTAGGATATCTTTTATATGACTTTGAAATAACGAGAAACATTTATTGTATTAAAAACTACTTTCAAAAGAAAATAAAAAATTTTTTTTTACCCAAAAGTGCTTCTAGAAAAGACATTTGACTGAAGGTGCTACTTTCAAAAGCCATCCCAAATCCGCTCTAGTGTCATCTTTCCTTGCCTAAATTGATAAGTCATCAACTAAGAGTTGTCAATTACTGTCTTTTCGAGAAAAATTATGATTTAAATTAGGCAAAGTACCCAAACTAATTATCCTCTAGTAAAGCAAAGCATGTATTCTCTCCTTTTCCCACCTCCCAATACATAAATAAAACACAATGATAATTGCTACTACTATGACCAGAGCCCACCCCTTGACACAAGAGCCCTTTATCAAGGGATTAAAACCCCAAGGAACGAAATATATGAAAATTGCATCGAAGTAAGAGAAGTAATAATGTACTCGACCTTGACAGATGGTGTAAGTAACTTATAAGCTGACATAATTGAATTGACTGGTTTGCGATTTCCCTTATGAGATTCATCATCATCATCATCACATTCTTGGTCTGCACATTCTTGTTTACCATCTTTGTCTAATAGTGGTTGTATACAACCATTCTCCACAATAAGATTTACCGTTTGCCCTACATCAGATTAATAATCCATTATCAAATTCTATGATTCTATCTAAAAACTAGCTTTATAGAAGTTGATAAATGTTTAAGAACTAAGGCTTTAAAGGATCGAATGTCATAGCAATTACTGCTAGAGTTGAGAGATTATCAAATTGGAATGAAAAGCAATGCAACATAAGAAAAAGCACCAATCATGAAAAATAGACGAAAAACCAAACAGGAAGTTTATAGTTTGACAAACCAACATTGGCTTCTGATGGCATGAGTGATAGAGGCTCTTTGAAACAAATGCACAACCATACGAGATAAATGAGCCATGCAAGAGCCATGGCCCAACCAGGCAAAGTGTCCTCATTAAATGTAATGGTTAAAATCTTGAAATTTCTTCGAAAGAACCAAGCAAGAGCTGGGCCACATGCCATTCCCAGTGCACTTGCACTAACAAATCCAGCAGAAGCTTGCATTCGTAATTTTAATGGCACACAGTCTGTAATATAACGCCGGTTGACTGCTCTTGCAGAACCCAACCTAAAATGGTCAAAAATAACTGGATTCCAAGTTCAGAAGAATTAAATAACAGACAGCTCACATATACAGGTTAGAATACAAATTTAATGCTAGAATTTTGACAGATTGTCTACCTAGTCCTTTAACTTTAAAAAGTTTCAATTCCATCCCCAAAATTTTGAAATTGTACTATGTAGTCATCCACTGTTGACTAAATGACGTGGTATGCCTATTGGATAAGTGTTTGTTGATTTAACATTTCAGAGAGAGTACAACACCTGCAATTACCTTTCTTAAAGCAATAATATCAATTAACTTTTATAGATCATGCCATTCAATTTTGTTCCATTGTCCACTTTCTTCAGTCATTTTTTTGCCATTTTGTGCCAAATTAACCTATTTTGTTCCATAGGCATGCATCATCATCATTTAGCTAGTGACATAAATTAGCTAGAATCAAAATAAAAAAATGTGGGACATAACTAAATGTTTTCGAGTGCAGATTAAAAAGACGCAATTATCAAAGTTAAAGAGACTAAATTTAAATGCTCAATTTCGGAGTAACATACCCACAAAGAAGACGGCCAATGAGAAGAATAGCGATTGACTTGAGATCATATGCCAGGGCATACAATGTGTTACCCACCACAAGAATAAAGCTACTAAACACCAGTGGCTGAATGTATGATCTGTTTGACCAAGAACTGAAATAAACTGAAGAAAACACTTGTGCCACAGCCATAGCTCCAATTACAATGCCACAGACAGTTGCTGCAGCTCCCAGGCTCATGGAGTAGTTGTCTGCCGTTGGTACAATGATATATGTATTTACCATATACAAAAATGTGCTTGCTAAGTTCAAAAGAAGTGACATAAAATGATATCTTTGATCAATTTCATTCCCAGCGGAATCTGATAATTCATCTTCCAAAAGCATGGCATGCTTTCCCAAAAATTGAAGAAAGTTTGTTGAGCTTGATAATCTGTTTAGAGCTGCTTTTATGGAATCAATTACAGGGTCCTGCAAAAAAAAAATCTTTATTGAGGAAAATTCCACTTATAAATAATAAAAAAAGTAAACTACTATGAAGTGAATAAATAAGTATGAAATCTCATAAAGATTGATAATTTATCATTAGATTGATAATAAAGTGAAAATCGTAAATGCTCAAATTATAGATCCCTTTCTTACCTTCTTTAAGACAACATATTTCATATATAAAATAAATCGTGATTCCAGGACATGTCACCAGTAAGTCTTAAGAATTATTTACATCAAACATAACATGCTTCAAAATTCTTATCCCAAATTTGATCTTCTTTTCTCTAAAGATTAAGTGATTAATAAACTACTTTTGGTTAATCCCAAACAAAAAAGAAGCTGATATTCATAACATACTCTCTCTCCCCTTCAAATAAAGATGCATTTAACATCATCAATTGAAAGATGCATATAATAGAAGTAAATATTCTATTTCCCTAAAATAATTAAGTTCTTGAATTTTTCATAATAATCTTCCAACTGAAATATGATTACAGAAATACAATTTGAAAGTGAACCAAAATGATAATGATAATTATCACAATGCATATACATTCTAACGGTCTGCAAGAAAAAACCTGATGTGGAAGGCTAAGTTGATCATATATCGAGATGTAACTCCCCTTATGATCGTGAAGCTCTGCAAGATTACGAGATATGGCACCAGCAACAGCACCTATACCCTGAGCAATTAGCTTCTAGCTATTAATGCTTGTATGCACCATATAATTACTATCAAAAAGCTCAAGCTGCAACTAATAAGGACATAGAAGAGACCCATAATTTCAAGGAACTACCAAATCAAATGTTACAGAAGGAAAAGGGGAAAAAAGTTAATTTGGGCATGTTACCACTTGCTTAAAAACTTGTTTCAGTAGGGAATGAGGATGGTTAGCACGAGTTTTGACATAATAATCTGTAAACTTGTAGCCAAATCGTTTATCGAACTTTTTTAATATCTTGCGTAGACCAATTGCATTCATCTCCACAAAAGCAAGAAGCCTCAAAAGATCTTGGCCAGCTGCTCTATATTTTTCTTGTAGTTCATCAACTCTTGTTTCTCCCAGCTGTTGGGAGAGGACACCTTGCTCTTCACCAAGACTAGATAACCTCCTTGCAAGTAGTCCTTGTTGCTCCAACAAAAATAAAACGATCTTTTCAATCTGTAAAGCAATTAGTATGCCATTATTAAAATGAAAAAAGCCTGAGACGATTTAAAATCTAGTATAATTTTAAGGTCAAAGAATTAGCCATTGGCCTCCATCTGAAAGGATTCAAAATAAGTTACTTTAAAAAAAGTTGCCATAAACATTTGTGTTAAGGGGCTGCAAGTCTTCCTCTAATATCAGGGGTCTTTCTTTCAGAACACCTTGGGGCTACAAGGTTCATAACCACTTTTCTCAATATAGGATACTTATAAAGGTAAATTTAATATGGCTGATTTTTTTCTATTTTCCTACGAGACAAGAGAAAGTCTCAACGGATCCTCGCGCGCTGGCATACCTCTTCTGTGCCAGTTTTGCAATAGCACTGTGCTCTAGCTAATTTCCACCCCTTATCAAGTGTAATTTTGTAACATAAAATTGTGCCTAATGGAATTGACTTAGCATCAGATGTGCCTTTATTTTTCTTCCAAAAACTTGGAAAAGTAATTTGTAGATAATCCAATTGCAACAGCAGAAACTTATTACTTGTGCAGCATATAAGATCAAATTGCAGCATATATTGTGGTCACTTAGGAAATGATAACCGGGCTAAACCAATTATGATTAAATGTGAAGATATATGTCAACATGTTACTATGGCACAGCCTTCGTGTATTTCTCGATACAGCCATGGTGCTTAAGGTAGAAACAATGTCAGTGTGATCCTTAATGTATGTACGCACTTACCTGAATATCTAATAATCTTGAGAAGTCCCCAAGCACATAGTGGTGATTTTCTGCTCCAATCTCTATTTGTAGTGTGTATCTATTAACTTTCTTCTTCATTAATTTATAATTGATATAGAACCTGCAATAAGAAAAATAAACATGTCAACAAATCTTGATGGTACTTGCACCTCTAGTAATATGTAATATGATCAGTATATTTCATACGAACAAATGTCCAGGCACAGGATGATTAAATACCCAATCTAGTAGTTCTTTTTTTTCTTTTTTAGTACAACATGTGGGGATGGGATTCGAACGTACGATCTTTTGATCGGAGATACATGTTTTTACCAGTTGAGTTGGGCTCAGGTTGGCTACCAAATCTAGAAGTTAACAACTATCTAAAGTAATATTGATAAAAAGTAGTAATACACAACACAAGCAAGACAAGAATACGCGAGTATCAAATGGAAAAGCTAGACCAAGTTAATGAAATATTAATATTCTCAATTTGGCTCAATCAAATGCAATTAAAGCTTTTCCCTCAAAACGGGCAGCCTATATATTGCTTAAGTTCAAAATTCTAGAAGGACACTTGATAAGCATTTCTCCCAAAAAGTACTTACAAAAAAAACGCTTCACTTAAAAACATCTCAAACTCACTATAAATATAAAATCATACACTGGAAAAACGATAAATGTGTGTTATTAACAAACAAGTAATGAATATATTAGTTGAGCATAGACATACTCTCGCCATTCTGGAATCTGCGATTCTCTCAACTTCTTGCCAAATGCGACCATCCTTCAGACAGCAAAAATAAACTCGCCATTAAACATTGACAAAAAGAAACATGAAAATACCCTCTTCACTTTTCGGAAAGTATTAAATGTAAACGTTCATACTTCCAGTAAAATGCCAATGTCTGTTTCGCCAGGTTTGCTTAGTTCTAATGATCCGCAAGAAATCAAGACGGAGAAAGAAAACTCACAACCAAATTCGCTATCGAAGACCCATTTCCTTGTTCTACACAGTACACACAATGCCCAACAGGAAACAAGATTGGGAAGAAAAAGGCTAGAAGATTTCGACAAATGGGTTTGTGTGAGAAACATAGTTGGGATCGTTGTTAAAAGGAGATTGAGAATCAGAAGAAGAAATTTCTTCATTCTGCCGTCGCCTGAGTCTCCTATTCGTGCTTCCGGCATTGCCCTGATTGGTAAAGATTCATGAGTTTTTTCTTCATTTCCCCAACATTGTTCTGTTGTATACGGTTTTTTTTCCCCTTCTTTTCCATACTCTGCATCTGCCCCCCAATTCTCTGCTCTTCCAGATTCCTTTCTTGCTAAAATATTTAGCATTGAAGGATAGTACGTGACATATTTTGGCATGGTATGGCATCATATTGTCTGCTTCAACCTACAGTTGATTTTTGTTCCATTCAAAAGACCTCGAACCAAGGGAGATCCCACGAATTACACCATAACTACACTTTCTGAGACTCATCACTTCTTCTTTCGACATGATTCACCGACACAGCTAGGTTTAGATTATGGCTTTGATACAACTTGTTAAAGATAATGGTAGGACATAGTTCTCGCGATTTTGTTTTTGGTTCCATCCAAAAATCTTAAACCAAGGGAGATGATTGTCCTATCTATCGTTCATTTCCCTAATTAATCTGAGATTTTGTTTGCAATCAGCTTACAGACCCAACATAATCCTCTCTCTCTACAATCATTCGGGACAATAAAATAAGTACTTGGATAATTGTTATTGTTTCTCCGCTTTTAAAATGTTTCTAAAATTATGTATAAATTTTGGAAACAACCAAATTAAATTAATTGTTGGCAACATAGATAAAAAAAAACATATATATACTCTTCATTAGTTCTCTCTCTAAAATGCATAATAAATATATAAAAAAAAAAAGATAAATTTAACATTAAAAATTGAGCATTTATATAAAATTTCTACTTTTATTAATCTAGAGCAAGAAATAATTTAAGTAACGTTTTTCTGAACTGAAAATGAGGAAAAAAAGAATTATGAATGCCGATGATGCTAAGAAAAATGTTCATCCTTCAAAATATAAATGAAAATAAAAAATAACCTGCGTTAAATAAATGAGTGATCTCTCTTCTGCAAAATCTTGGGATATTAATGGAGGACTTGCAGTTCTCTCGAAGCTCTGCTTATAGAGAGTGAAAGTGCTTCGTCCAGGTCCACATATATATATATATATTAAATATATTGTTCATAGAGAGTATGGATTTTATTTTACACCTCCAAAATTATTATTATTATTATTAATATTTCTAATGTCATTTTAGTCTCAGCTTTGTTGATTTTTTAAGAAGTGACTATTTATGTTTTTAAATTTTATTTTGTGTAAAATATATTTTTAGTCTATGAGTTGAGAATAAGCTCCTACTTGATAAATTTTAAGGACGGATAGTTTGACATGAATAAAAAATAGTATTTTAACAATATTTTTTTTAGCATCCCGACATAGAGAATTGGACTTTCGACCTAAAAAAAATATTATATATATTTTTATTTTTTTGAAACAAAATATTATATGTATTTACTGGTAGATTTTAAAATTAATTATAACCTATGGTAAATGTTAGAATTTTCATAAACTTACACAAAATGAAGGATAGATAAACCATTTATAATAGCTTCTTTATTTTTTTTTATTTTTTTATTTTTTTGCTTTTTTCTTATTCTTCCTCATCTTCTAGTATGGTCTTAAAATCATAGATCATTTCTGAATAATAACTTTAATGTGGACAATAACCCTAGTTTTTACTACTCATCCCACTATATTATTGTGTTGATTTTGAGTCTCACCCTACCATATTCCTATTTATTTTTGGTTAAATTACAAGTCTAATGAATCCTTGAACTTTCATAATTGTATCTAATAATAGATTTTTAAACATTAAAAATACCTAAAACGTTCAGAGACTTATTAGACACAACATTGAAAGTTGAATCTAATATATAACTTTTAAAACTTCAATGACCTATTAGACGATATGGGTGTTTAAAAAAACCAAAAAATCCCATCAACATATGGATTGAAAACTATTTGAGTTTGATCGGGTTCACTTTTTTACCTAATTGGATAGAATCCACCAAGTTGATACAGCTTAACCGATGATAATATATAATCATAATTTTAATAAATTTATTATTAACTTAAAATTCTCTTTTAACTCATTTATATTTCTAACTAAAATTAATTTTAAACTCAAACCCAATTTCTATAGATTGAGTTAATTGTTTAGAATTTTCGATTGGCTTTTTGGAACCATTTAATTAAAACATAGTTCTATCTAACACAAATTCATAAAATATCTCTTACTATTTGATACAACTTTATGAGTTGAGGAACAATTAGTTTTATTTTATTTTTATTGGTTTGAATAGCTTTTCAAGATCAAATAGAAAGTTGACAAGCTTCTCCAATTATAAATTATATAATGAACATGCATTTCAATGTGGGGTAGATTGGCGGTAAATTTTCAAGAGGGAAGAAACAAAAGTCGGCAAATTTGGGTTGGAAATGGTAGGTTGTAATGATTATATGGTTTACTATTCGAACTACTCGAGTGTTTACGGGTTGAATTGAATTGGGTTTAGAAGTATTTTTTGAACTAATTCGAATTTTCGGATTGATCGCCATATCAGGAAATTGAAAGAATCAAATTTAATGATCAACTCAACTCAAAATTTTCGAGTTGGGTTGGATTTGATTATCAAGTTGCATTTTTTTAAAGAAAATTTGACTGAAAAAAATTACCAAATCACTGATCATTCAAATCTTAAAAGTTTATCATCAATAGCTTCCGTTCTTAAAAGTTGATCATCCATAGTCATTCAAACCAACGTAAAAATCCTAATTCAACGAAAACATTAAAAGTTTACACTACATAGCCATTTGAACAAATATAACAAATAAATTCTTAAAATCTCTCGTACGACAATTGACAATAACGAGCATTAGGTTACAAGATCTTGACCTTTTATTCTGTAATGTTAGGTCCCAAAAGTTCAAATACAATCAAAACAATTAGTCATACAATATAAAACACAACAAAAAAAAACATTTATCATGAAAATAATATTTGAGTATTTTAAACTCAAGAGATCGAAAGAGATAAAATATAAAATATTACAAACGACGTAGTAAATTAGTAACAATTAAACACAATTAAGGCTTTTTTTTAATACCTTAAACACAATAAGTTACCAGTAGGTAAAGTCGGGTATTTCTTAAAAAAATATATGTATATATAGTACTAGTGTCATATTTTATTCATGAATATAGCTCGCAGATATATATTAGGTTGTGAGTTCAAATCTTCTCCCTGTCATGTTTTACTAAAAAAAAATTAGTAATTTTATCATTTTAATATAAGATAAATAGAAAGAATATCTAAGATATTTTCGTGATAGTACAGTTACACCCACTTAAGCCTACAGATAAATTTGGAATAATCCAATTTTTAAATATATATTTATTTCTTTTTGCCTACTCCACTTTTCGATAATGCGGTGGGATGAATTATGTTTGACGTGATATTTTACTTTAATAATATGAAAATGTGACCAATTATGGAAAGGCCTCAACTTTATATTGATTTTCAAAACATTATTCTAATATGAAAAGCATAAAGGAGAAAGTAAGGACTGATAATGCTATTTTAAAGTAGTTTAAATAATAATAATAATAATAAAATAATCCTATTTTAAAGTGTAACCAAATATATAGTGCACGTGATTATATATTTCTATACAACTATTTCGGAGTGCAACTATAGGTTACTTATTAAATTAGATTTAAGTTATAGTTAAATGATAGAGATTATAAACCAAAACGAGCATAGTTTAATGAAATATACATACTAAATTGAAATTAAAATTGCTAGATAAATTAAGATACTTATTATTTTTCTTGAGGTTTAATGTTCGATCTCTACTTTCACATAGTTTATAAGAAATCTTTTTTTACCTTCTAACATAACAACATGTGAGAGTGGATATTTGAATTCACGACCTTTTGGTCACTGATCTATTAAACATTTTCAAAATTCAAAAACATAGTGGACACAGAAATTTAAAGAACTAAACGGACATTCTGTAAAGTTCGAAAATGTAGATACTAACTCTAAAATATCAGCTAGTAATTTAATCTTATTTTTATTTGAAAAAATATAAAAGAAGTGAGATGAAATAGAAAAATGGGGAGTTCTCCAATTATAAATTATTATGAACATGAAATGTGGGGGGTAGAATGGGGATAAATTTTGAAGAGAAAAGAAACAAAAGAGGGGCAAAATTTGAGGGGTTGGAAATGCTATTTTTATTTGAGGGGGCTGCTATTGCCACAAACTTTATGTGATAGTTATCCCCTTAAGCCTATGACCTTTTTTTAAAAAATATAATATTATAAAAATGTAATAATTTGCAACACTCCTTTTAAAATTGCGATTGGTTGGAAAAAGAGCGAAAGCCCTCTAAATAGAAATAAAGAAAATTCGAAGTTAGAAATTGATAAAAAAAAAACAAAAACTCTCTTCTAAAAACCTCGTGACTATTTTTTTTCAGGTCACATGTCAGATAAAAATAAAAGGTACCTAGACAGCTTTGGTCTTTATTGATGTTTGGTTTTTGCTTACCTCGAAACTGATCTGCCTCTATTTCGACTTTCTGTAAACAGAATATTGTTGTTTTAATCGTTTTATCCATAAGTGTCTTTAGAAGAGACGACCCTATCTAATGCATCAAAAGGTATTTGACGACCTCTATACGTAGTGCAACATGTCTTCTATTATTATATTTTTATTTTACAAAAATCCTATTTTACCTATTCAAGAGACGACTTTAATAATATTTAAATAACATAATCATTTTGATATTCGAGCTCTAGTGTTTTCATATTGTAGATATATAGTTTTTAATTTGTTAGGCAATACAATATTATTATTTATTTTAACAAAAAAAAACATAAATTATAATTTTTTAATAGTAATTATTTTATTTCAGAAGAAAAGAGAATTTTTGACACATAAAAGTTCGTATTTGGTGAATGGAACAAGATGGTTTTTTCAAGAGAAACACCAAAACTTTTAAAAATAGTTTGCGAATAATTATATTTAATAATTAGTAATGTTAACCTTTCCAAACATCAATCAAGTTTGGTTATTTTTTGTTCTCGTTTTTTGTTTTTTTCAAAACATAAATAAGCATTACTTTATAATTATTGACTTAGAAAATACATAATAAATATTAAAAAAATAAACCAAACCTAAAAAATTGAATATTTAATTTAAAATTTTACTTTTCATATAAATCTTTTTTTCAATTTAAAATTATAGAATATGTTTAGGTTAAAAATGATAAAGGATGAAGAAATAAGAAATAGTAAATTGGAGTAATCAAGATTTTAAATATCAATGTCGATTGTTTGGGGAAGGGAATACTCTGGACACGTGGAAGACCCCTATTGGTGCTCCAAGATGACTCATGAATCATGCCCAGCTCGGAAGGCCGAGATGGCCGCCACCAACGCCGACAAATGCCAAGTGTGAGGGCCGAGGTGAGCCTGGCCCAGGTCCGACCCACCGGGGAGCTCGGTATGGGCCGAGATGCGCAACTGTCTGCGGCATGATTATCGGGCGTAACCGTCGGTCCCGAGATTACCGGATGTAACCGACGGTCCCGAGATTACCGAATGTAACAGTCGCTAGATTAGCGGGACCACCACCCATAAGTAGGGGACCTCACTCCCCGATCAGGTACGATGATTTCT